AAAAACAACAACAACAAAAAAAAACACCCTCTCCAAAATATTTTGATTTGGAATTACTTCTGCTTTACTTCAAGCCAGGGTTATTACTCTTCAGATGAATCCATAGAAATGGCATTTTTAAAAAAATGAATACAAACACTGTAAGGTAAGCAAACAGACAGAGGCACTTGTGGAGCAGCCTAAATGCTGGGTTTTCACAGGTGAAAGGCAGGCTTCTGCCCAGGACCCACAGTGCAGTTTTGCATCAAACAGAACCCAGGAAGAAATGGACACCAGTCTGCCTACACTTCCTCCCAGACAGGAACAGGGAATGACTTATTTCTCAATGTATTTCCCAAGAGAATCAACCCTGAGCACTCACAAAAGCTCAGCAGCCACTTGCAGCCAACATTCTCTCACTCTCCCCAGAAACGCAAACCCTGATCTGCCAGCATTGCCCATCCCTGCCAATCTCCTTTTGGAGTATAATCCATATAATTTTGGAGATAACAAAAGCTTCCCATACCAAAATTCATCCATTTAAAAGGACAGGGCTGAACCCACATGAGTCTTTAGAGAAATAAAGAAAGCCATATATTAAAAAAAAAAAAATTGATGGAGTAACTTTTAAGACTTGGTCAGAAGCTGCACACGTCAAGAGAGTAACACAGGATAACTTTACATCTCTGCACCTCTCATTTGCTCAAGACGATCAAAATGAGATCAAGTCCTGGTTTATGACAAAGTCACCAGAGACAATTCCACAGTCACCACTGCTATAGTCAAAAACTCCTCTGCACAACCCCTGTTGCTCCATGAGCCCTGTGAGCACATGAACCCACTGGCACTGGACTTCAGCCACTCCAGCGTCCCACAGCAGAGCAGCCATCTCAGCCATCTGTATGTGCTGCCATCTTGGGCTACTCATGGTGATGCTGGAGAGAGCCAAAATGGCCAACACTTAACAGGAGGGGGAGAAAGGGTGCTACAGCTGTTAGCTATTGATACTTCATCCTAAATTTATTTTTACTTTATTATTTTCTATAAATACTCATGTCTTTCATCGGCTCTACTGCTGCTAGAGCCTTTTCCAGAAACTGTCAGTGTCATATGGAAACTTAACCCCTAACAGAGAAAAAGAAATCAAGAAAGAAACTAGGAGGCAGTGGAAGAAGAAACGTTGAAAATTACTAATTCTGAAGAAAGAGGAATGTCACATCACCATAGGACTGCTACTTCAAAGTCTTCCTACAGGTGCTGGCTGCCCTGGTTCTGAGCCCAGCAGTGCCAGGCTCCCCACTCACACACACAGTCTACTCACCTAACTGACTAATTGCTTTCCTTTTCCTAGCTGCTTTTTTGTTTGATGGGTACTAACACACAGAAGAATGTTAGTGTGTCAGCTGGGAACTGCCCACTGTCATCAGGGGGTGGGGAGGAATACTGCCCCAACTATTCATTTCTGTTTTTACTGCTGCCAATGTCTAACTTTCCGAAAGAAGTAAGCCCCCCAAAACTAGCAATATATGAAATCAGGACTTTGAGTTTTAGTTGACAGTTACTACAGACTCTTGAAGAAGTGAAAATCACTCCTCTTTTTGTAAGTCATTACGTGGAAAAGTTCTAAACACATACATACTGCAATGACTTATATCACACACAGCCAAAGTTTCAAAACACAGTTATGCTTTCAAAAGCAAAGATCACCACTGCCACATAGGGTTACAAAAAGCAAACTGATCAAACCGAAAAGAAAAAAAAAAAAATCCATCAGATACAAAAATAATGCTTTTCTTCAGCCATTACTCCTAGTGCTCAATGGTAGACACTGCTATGAGCTGCATGTCGAGAAATAGCTGCACTGCTCTGCTTGCTGCTAGCAATTTCATATAGTGCATGCAGATACATATTCTATGGGACAAAACAGAGACCATCACATAATGTTACAGAGACTTGCAGCGAAACCAACAGCTGCAGAGGAGCCCAGTTGTCTCACTGCTCATGCCAGCCTCAAACCAACCAGGAGGACAGAGGCTACAGGACTGAGCCTGAATTGCCATGCTACACAGCACCTAGCATTTTATTTCTGACTAGATATGACATTCCCAATTCCACCTGCTTAATTTTACCAAATATTGCATTTCTATTCCAAGAGAGTATCCACATGGCACATTAGTAATATAGCTTCCAAATAGCTTCCAAGCTACAAATTCAAAATAAATAAAAATGAAAGGTAAGAAATTATTGCTAGAACTGTTTTACGGGGCATATAAAGAGATTAAAGCACTTGGACCAGGGCGATGAACACCCAGAAAACGTAGTTTTCATTTACTGATTCAGACACCACACTTCAACCACAAGGGGAACTTCACATAAGGCTTCAAGGCTCCAAACCATGCCATATCAAAGTGTAGTTAAGTTCCATTTGACAGCATTAACAATAAGGAACTGCGCGCATCAAGCTAGTTCATGCATCAGTACATGGAGAGTGGTGGAGGGAGAAAAAAAAAGTTATCTGTTCAAATAACACCAATATATTAAATTAAATTTCGGTGCTGCAGTCAACTTTTCATTCTCACTAATGGCTTTTAAGAAAGCCAGGCATTTTTCCCCTCAGTCCATTTTTACCTTTTCCCTCCATTTGACAAATATTGATTTTCATTTCCTCCAAGTTTAAGTGCACTGAATACTATTGCGACTGTTTTGTTTGCTTTTTTGTTTGTGCCTCAGCTTTATCGAGGATGCCAGCATGAATGCATTGAGCTTTGGAAAGAGAGAATTGGTTTAATAACGTCTTCAAATCCAGGAGAGAACACAGAAGCAGACACTACTGTTTCGTATAGGTCAAGCAAGAAAAGTGACTGTAAGCAACTACATAACATCCATAAGGAGATGACAGAAGTAATGGTCTGGGTGTTTTAAGCTGTTCTACTATCTTGTGTCACGACAGAAGTGTTCTTTCTCTACTACAGCGCAATGTTAGACATACTGTCTTAAATGGCCTTCGGTGGCACTTTAAGCTGAGCCTGTTCCATATGCAGTCCTTCAGGAGGGTAACATCTCCTGCAGTTCTGTCTCAAACAAGCCGCAGAATTATCAGTTGCCTTCTCTTGAACTCAGTGGTGTTGGCTCTGCCTCAAGTTTCATAAGATCTCCTCAAGCTTTGTGAGCCTTCCTGGCATGTCTTGGATATCTGCTATCTTGGACATGATGACCTTAGAATCATTTAGGCCAGGAAAGGTCATTGTCTTAAAAGCCAGATACACCTTTAGAGCAACTGTCTGTGCAGAGCCCACTCTGTTAAAGCCAAAACATTCTGAACTGACTTCAGAAGGGGATTCAATCCAATTACGTGCACCAGAGGTCTAGGCTGATAGGAAGTGATCCCCACAACCAAGCCAACTATCACAGCCAGCCTCATTTCCCCCAGCAGCTCTGACAACTTGCCAAGAGGAGTCACTATTCATTCCAGGCAACTAAAACATAGAAAACCTTTGCGGACTGTCTCTCTATAATTTGCTATTAGCTGAATACTCTAACCAACAGAAAGATAGGAGCTTGCATGAGACACGTTTAGTAACAAAGACGATTATCCCCTTAACTGCTATTCACGTGATACAAACGTTAACTTCCCTACCTATTGAATGGCATTTTAAAATTCCATTGAAAGGAAGGCAATTTAGAATTATTCACAGCTAAAGAAAGTTCAGTAGCAGAACAGGTATTGGTTTGATAAATGTCTTGACATTAGTCATCTGGATAGTCTTAAGGGCTCAGCTTCCTACTGTATTCTCCAGCAAGCAAAGGAAATAAAGTGATGACCAGCAAGGCTACATTTATGACATTGTGCCAAACCACTGCACGTTTCTCTTTCCATATTCAGTTCCAAACACTGCTTGTGTTGAACCACCTGATGCCAGGTGCTGCAGGGCTTCTGCTACACCCATCTGACATTGTGATGCTGCATTTTTAAGACCTTTAAATAATAAAAATAGACCTTTGCACTTTAGCATTGCCCTGATCAAGAGAACTGTCTGTACAGATGATGTGAATGTCTGCAAACGCAGAGAGACTTCTTACTTAGAGGAAATGACACCAGAAGTTTCAGGGCCAAATGTTCCAGTAAGGATGTTCCTTATTTGCACTCACGACCCAGTCTGACACAAGTATGGACGTGTCTTCAGTAGCCATCTAACCAGAAGCAAACTGCTTTGCAAAAGTTACAGTAACTTCCAGAAGTTAAGAAAAGCCTGCAGTTCAGCTTTGATCAGTCAGCTGCTGCAAAAAGGAAGATGTCATGGCTTTGTTACTCCAAAACCCTCCAGCAGGTGGGTGAGAACACTCACAGGTGTTCTACACAGAGCCACCTGCCTGCAAGCCTTCAGTCCCGTACACCCTGCAGGCTTTCTACCGAATGACTTCTACATCTCAGTTTTCACCAGCTCCCTCAAAGCTAAATAGATTTGATCATCAAAGATTTCCCTCCTGTTTTCTCCCTTAGCGCTGTAGCAACTGGACAGATCAATACAATGGGAAAGGCATTACAACAGAGCCATGATGAGGGAAGAACCAACACAATAAAGGAAATGAAGACAATTGCTTACCCATATCTGAAGATTGCAGGCTCATAGGGGAAAGCTTCACCAAGAAGGGATCTCCAACCTGAGATCCTCCCCCCAGTGGCAGCCAGCCCTTAAAAGAGGCCTAAGAGGTGCAGCCGGGTTCCACCCCTCTGGTCACACAGCTGAATTGCCTTCACCTGTGCTCCCAGGGCTGACTGGATCCTTTCCCCAGGTGCTTAATCAGTGGGTCAGGCCATGACTCAACAGTTATGTACAAGAACTCGTCCTTATTCCCATGACACTGAGTGACTTTGCCTCTTAAAGATTTAGGCTGTGGATTCAAAAATAAATCTCTAAAGAAAAACTGAAGATAGAAGAGACTTGTAGTAGGACTAAGCTGTAGTATGATTCGAGACTGAAACTTGCTTTTGATCACTGCCATGCTTACACCTCACTTACCTGTGACATACTTGGGTCTCTGCGCGTCATTCAGGAACTCTGAGTGTCTCACACCTTCAGAACAAGCAGATCCTCCCAAGCAGCAATCACCACGTGCTGGCTATTTTCTAGGCATCCTCTAGGCCACTGCCAGTAGTGACAGGACTGGCTCAGCTACTCTTATATTAACTATAGCCTGGATGTAAAAAACAGAAATACAAAATCAGGAGAGAGAACATAGGCATAGCTATCTGTAACCCTTTGCTAGGGAAGTTGCACATTCTCCAGTTATTTCTGATCTTCTCCATAGATAATTCCAAACTTCTATTCCTCCTTAACATTTTGCCTAGGAAAAAGTATTTATACAAAAGATTGTATTGTATGTGAAATCTTTAAGTCATTATATTTCAGCTCAGCAGCTAAAAGACATATTGCTTCTGGCTTGTGTAAATAACCATACCCATTTATTTGCAAAACATTATTTTAACTTCTGTCAATTCATATTCATGAGGGAAGGAAGCCAGATAGAAAACGATCCTTTGATTTTAAATAAATAAATGGAGAAGTACTGCAGCCTGGCAGGGAGCAAAAAAAAAGGGGGGGGGGAGGGGGAAGGCAAAGGGAACTTCAGTCGCACTTTCACATGCTAAATAACAGCAGCCTCCTGCATAGGTGCAACCCGGTAGCTTGTGGCTTCGGGGACTCCCAAAAGCACACATGCCCTCACCAACCACACCCCAGCACAGGAGGCAACGCGGAAATCCATCCCCCTTTTCCCCGACAAAAAGCCTTTGGGACTTGGCTGTCATCTGCACGTGGAATAAGCCGGGCAGTCCCGCTCGCACCTCTCCGCCGCCCCTGCGGAGCAGCGCGCTGCTTCCTCTCTCCATCCCCCACCGCCTTTCATCCCTCCTGCTCTGCGCGAGCGGGGCTGCGCCGTCAGGCACGGCGTGCGGCTGCCGGCCGGCGCTACGCAGAGCTTTGGGAGCGCCCGGCTCCAGGCGCTGCTGCCCCGCGGTGCTGCGCGCTCCGCCGCCCGCCCGCCTTCCCGCACGGGGAGGTTCAGCGCGCTGCCAGCCCGGTGTTTATTAAATAAATCGCTGCTGAGTGAAGAAAGCGACACGTTAAGGGGGATGAGCTGAGTGATCTTTGGAGCTTGGAA